GAACACATGAACATATATATACTGAAAACATGAAGATTCCCGCAAAGAACTGAACTTTGGCCGCGGCGGACGCACCGTGCGCCGCCGACGGCGTTAAGCCGTTTCACCCATTCTAATCATCTCTCGGCAATATAAACTTAACTGAATATGCTTAATAATCTACTGAATAAAACACATGAAAATGCTCGAGAATAACGAACTTAACATATTGAGCAAGCAAGTATGGTCCGTGGTGCGCTACGTGCGCAACCACGTCACCCTTGGCCGCAACACCGCATGCGTGACTTATCATCCGAACATTATAGCTAATCTAAACATGATATTGCAATTAAAGGCTAAACATGCAAGAATGGTTCGGAGAATATAACTTAGAATGTAACATGACCGGCACGGCTATTAGGCTAGGTGGAAGGAATCTTGACCACAAAAAGAAAAATCACTAACATATACACACTTAATCACACGGCATTTAGCATGAAAGGAGTTCCGCCCTAGCTTGAATGGTGCACGGCATTTAACATACTAATGGTGATTAATTACCGTTAATCACAAATTAAGGCTTAATCAATTAATTAAGTATAATACTTAATTACCAAAATTTCTTTCGAACGTAAACGGTACGTCGAAAATAATTTCCGGTAATTTCGACTAAAATAACTGGAAATAATTAATTCCGAAAAATAATATCGGAACTAAAAATATAATTTATACTGATAAATTGTCGGGATATTACATCCATTGTTGAAAGATATGTTGCGGAAGAGGCTGTAGAATTTTGTAATGAATATTTATCACAGTCAAAATCTATTGGCATCCCTAGTTCTCGCCACAAAAGAAAGGGGTCTAGTAAAGGGACTATCGGGGGACAACTTAAGAGTGTTGATCGTGAAGAAATGATACAAGCACATATATATGTTATCAATAATACTCCTGAAGTGCATCCTTACATAGTTGCACATAAGGCACTAGTAAAGCGACAAAATCCTCGAAAACCTGAAAGGTGGTTGGTGCAAGAGCATAACAGGACATTCTTAACATTGTTTAAGAATCAGGTTTTAAATGATGATACTGCTTCAGACACAATCACGTGGTTAGCTGGTGGTCCTAATTTTGATGTTAGATGTTGGCGTGGATATGACATCAATGGGTACTCTTTCTGCACGAAAGAAAGAGATGATAAGAGTACTACGCAAAATAGTGGTGTTTCTATTGTGGCTGAGTCAATGCATTTCTCTAGTTCAAAAGACAAAAATCCAATGTTAGCCGCTAGTTCTTATTATGGGGTTATTGATGAGATATGGGAAATTAGTTACATTAAGTTTACCGTGCCCGTTTTTAAATGTAAATGGGTTGATGGTAATAATGGTGTGAGGGTGGATGATTTGGGTGTCATATTGGTTGATTTCAGGAGAGAGGGTTATAAAAATGAACTGTTTGTCATGGCATGCCAAGCAAAACAAGTCTTTTATGTTTCTGATCCGAGTGACCAACATTGGTCGGTGGTACTCCAGGGTAAACGACAACTTGTTGATGATACTGATGAGCCAAGTCTTGATATGTATGAATTTCCTTCATTATCACCAAGGTTGTCTGTAATAAGCGAAGAAGATGAAGCAGACGATGTCCATGCCATACGAGACGATCATCATGAAGGAATTTGGGAAAACATACCCATGAATGCATAGTATATTATGTAAGTATATATATATATATATATATATATATATATATATATTAGATGAACAAATAAAGGCTAAAATAGTGAGTGTTAGACAATAAAGCTACTTTTCTTCAACATTAGTGCATGAAAAGTAGGACTTCAACATTCTGGAGAACTTCAATATTATTAAGTTCGTTCTAACTTATTTAAACTTTTGTCTCATATTATTAACTTTTATCCACTTTTGATTCTCATTTTTATTCTTACATTGCAGATCATTGTTTGGCTTAGCAACAGATCGTTCCATTCATATGCTGATTTTTTCTTTTGAGAGCACATCATATGTAAGTTTTCACCTGCTACTCCGTAACTTCATAATTTAACAGATTCTTTACATGATTTAATTGTGGAAGTAAATAATTGTTGTCCGTTTTTCTTGTTTTGTGTTTGGTCTCATGTTTTATTCTCTGCCGTTCGTTATACAGAGGCAGTAAGCCATGATTTGATAGCTGATAATGTAAATGAACCCAGTGTTGGGTTAGTTAGGGGAGATAACATCTTCTGCTGAACTATAGGAAGAACACAAGAATACCTGCCATTTTTTTTCCTATCAGTTGTTCTTTTGGTCGATTTTGCTTATATTATGCAGTTCCTATTTTGTAAGAAATGCAAAAGCTTGTAACTGAATGAATATTGTTTAATGTCTCATAAGGATACTTTCACGATGTTTTTCTGGTTCTGACTGGTAGTAATGATTCTTGCACACGAAGTTTTCTGGTTCTCACTGGGATTGTTGATGCTTATTTTTGTCAACTGAATAATATATTTCTTATGTAAAAAATTAGGTCATTTGTTTATTAAATTTATTTCCCTTTTGTTTATATCATGATGAATTCAGAGTGATAGGCTGCAATAAATGTTGTAATGGGAATGCACCTGAATATGGTTGTATGGAAAATCTAAACTTTTGTTTAGTTATCCCTCCCTATATATGATTTCTTTACATGATTTAATTGTGGAAGGAAATAATTGTTGTTCTTTTTTCTTGTTTTTGTGTTTGGTCTCATGTTTTATTCTTGTGACAATAAGTTATGGCTTGGTGATTTTCTGTGCAGACTTATTAGGTAAAGAAGCTCTTAATCATACAAGTGGGAACTCCTTTTGCCATCTTAAATAAGACACCGGAAACATCAAGGTAATTTAATCTCTTTTTACTCATTGCTATTAGATGCAATTTCATAAGTTCAAAAACTAAAAATAATAATAAATAAATAAATAAATCAGAGTCAATAATATGGTTTTTATCTAACTTATGATTTTAAATAATATATGCACACTCATAACTTATAAAAAGATCGATTACTAGTTATGAAACGTGTATGCAGGAATGGATGATCTTTCTGAAAATAGTAGTCAAGATGGCTCAGACAAGGAAACTCACGTCAAAAAAGGTCGCAAAGCGACACGGATGAAAGACATACAAACATCAGACGGAGAAAAGAAACCTGTTACATTCAATCGTTATTTTGAGGCAAACGGGCCAGATCCAAAAACTAAGAGCTAGTTTAATAGCTACATCGCCCTTCTAGGACGTAGCAAAGTCAGCATCTTGATACCGGACTGGAGAAAAGTGACTGATAGGAATAAAGAGCAAATTTGGCATGCTTTATCGGTATAATTTATCTATTTTATGAAAACACAATAGTTTTTAATTGAATGCTTTAATGATTTATTGAGTTGTACCAGTTATGTGATTAAAAATTTAATGATTAAATATTAATTATTTTTTTATGAATCTTTATATTTTTAGGAGCACTATGAATTGCCAGATAAAGAGAAATTGAGAAAGAGAGTGTTTTCACGTGCTGGGGATGGTTGGAGGGCTTTCAAAACTAATTAAGCTCAGTAGAGAATACATATTTGGAGAAAAGATTGGTTTGCTCCCGTATGACGATGGTTACCCTTTTCTGGATGCAGACACTTGGAAGGCTTTTGTTGCATCCCGTCAAACTCCTGAATTCTTGGTAAGTTAATATTATCATGAACATAAATAATTTCGAGTCTCTCATACATTTGGCCATACAATTAAAGTTAAATTGTTTGGGGACATTTATATTCAAAAGTGCGTGAAACTATTATTTCTGTTAACTTGTTTGATCTTTATGTAAGGATTTTTTGAGAGAAAATAAATGATAAGTGGATATTTGGGATGTTGAGTTGTTTTTCTTGATTGTGTTTTTAATCTATATGTATGTAGGAAATCAGAAAAAAGGCTCAGGAGTCACAATCATATAATCTAAATCCGCACATATTATCTCGTGGAGGCTACTGGCTTTTGATGCAGAAGATTATGGACTAGAAATACAGGGCAAGAAAAGAGGCCTCCAGTGATCCATCTGAAATTATTCCACCCCCATCTCCTCCTTCTCGTCATGAATTATGGAAAAGAGCTTGTATAACAAAGAAAGGAGATTATGTCTCAAAGGAAGCCAAAATTGTTGCTGACAAAATTGTAAGTGGTGTGTTTTTATATTTTAAGTTCCTCGTACATTCATGAATGGATAATTACTCTTTATAAATTCTTCAAACCTTTCATGCAGGATTCTTTAGAGGAACAATGCACTCAGGGTAGTTTCAAACCTGTTGGGAGAAACGATATACTCGCAACAGCGTTAGGAAAGCCGGAGCATCCCGGGCGTGTGAGGGGAGTGGGGAAGGGTGTTGGGATGAAGGACTTCTTTGGGCCGTCGAACTGTTCAAGTGTAGGGAAAGATATGGTCTCGCGAGATGAGATGGAAACTATCATCAGTCGTAGGATTGACGAAGTGAAAGACGAATGGAAAAATGAAATAATGATGATGATCGGCAAAAGCTCTTCGATTGCCCATAGTCCTAATTCTCCGAGGATCCAAAGCACTACAGAGAGTTGTGCTCCAAATGTGTTATCATTGGATGAACTTAACGAGGATAAAGAATGCGAGTTGTATGTGGAGAACCCAAAAAAAAATTTGGTTGCATACGGACGTATAACCTTGGGCCAACCATTCACCACAAGAAGATGAATGAGGATGAAGTGAGGGTTGTCGTGTCACGTGTAGTCGTTGGAGATGCGCCCGTGCCATGCCCAACAGAGGAGGTCACAACCGTAGAAGAAGCGCCAAATAACTTCATTACTTGGCCTCGTAGGTTGGTTAAAGGTGCAAATGCTAAGGTAATTAAAAATACTTAAAATAGTATCTTTCTTACTCTATAGTCTTGAATGGTTTTTTGTTTCATACGAGTTATCTAGAATAAAATGAATCATTTTATGAGTAACTCATGAATTTACATTCTCTTGAAAATTTTATATGAATATATTTCTCATTCGTAGGATAAATTTCAGTCGAAGCCAGTGACACCAGTACCGATTATCGAACCTGAGATAGATGCCGTGACAACTTTGTGGATGGAGGCACGTTATATAAAACATCCAATTTTCATAAATATGCCGGCTGAGATTTTTGGCGAGAAAAGAAATTTGTACATATTTCAGAAGGACATAATGGAGTTGTTGCAAAGTCAAAAACTTTGCATTTCTATCATTGAATTCTTCAACATGTAAGTATTTATCATCATTTATGTCTGCTTTTTATCTGCAATTTGAGGTAATAATTTTATATTTTAAATGCTTAATTCAATAATCTTTAATAGTTTAGTATTTTATATACATTATTCACTATAATTGTTTCTAAAAGTTATTTATCTTTTGAGTTACCACAGGTATCTCTATAATGTGCTGAAAAAATCCGAGAAAGAAAAAAAATTTGGATTTTTGTGCCCGCTCAAAATTCAAACAAGGGGCAACAGTAAGGAAGAGATAGAAGGGTATATTGCGAGAAGAATGGGAGAAGAAAATTACGAGTGTATCTTTGCACCTTACATTAGCGAGTAAGAATATAAAAACATATAAAATTCACTTTATCTGTGCATTATTTTATTTTTATTAATATTATATAGACATACAAATTAAAAATTGTACCAATTAAATACATTTATCTTTTGGATTGACAGAAAACACTGGTAGTTGATGATACTTTGTCCCAAACAAAATAAAGTGGTTTGGTTGTGCTCGTTGAGAAGAAATCCCAACACAGAGTTGATAAACAAGATTAACAGGTATGTTTTTAAATTGATAAATTAGATCGATTTTGTAGTTAACTTTTCTTTGCTAATTTCAAATATATTATCTTTTACATTTTAGCTTATTTTGTCTTTTAAGTAATATGAATATTTATTATGTTGCAGTGCATTTCGTGCATACTTCATGGTTAAGGGAAAACGTAACCTTATAAGAGAGAAGCCTAAATGGGTTCCACCTAAGGTAAATTTATTGAATGATGTTAGGTGTTTTTATTTTGGAGAGTTATATTATTTCCTTCTTAGTTGTATGCACTGATTTAATTTGTGTAGTATAAATGATGTTTTTATGTTTTTCATACAAGTGTCGAAAACAATTGGGAGAAGAAGCATGTGGATATTTTGTTATGCGGTATATGCTCGAGATTATATCACTTTGCATTATCGACTCGTTCGAAGAGGCAAGTTTTTTATTAAAATCAACTTTTTGATGTATTTGAAATCGCACAATTCAATACAGGTTAATTATAGTGATAATATTTGTTATTGTATCATGTAGGCTTTCAACATTGATGAGCCATATTCGGACGAGGACATTGAAAATATAAAAATGCGGTGGACGAAGTACTTTCTTGAGGTTACTTCATTAGGAAAATAGACTTATCAGTTTACTTGCATTTTATGGATTTTGAACTTTATAACTTTGGTTGCTGACTATTGTTGGTGTAGTGCATATGAAAACTATTTTTTATAACTTGGAGTTGTTGAAATATTTTGGTTGTTAGTATTTGTGATGTGGGTTTCTGTTGAATTGTGGGAATATTTTGAATGTATGAATGTTATTATTTTGTAGTAATAGATTTTTAGATTTACATGTAAAAAAATATATTTTTAAATAAAATTATTATAAATGCTTGATTTTACATCGGTTTTTAAAGCTGATGTAAGGAACCGATGTAATAATCCTAACATTTGACATCGGTTTTACAAAGCCGACGTAAACAGACTATTTCGACATAAAGATTTCATGTCGGTTTTCATAATAACTGATGTCATTGTAATCATTATTCACATCGGTTATTTTGAAACCGATGTGAATCTAAGTAATATGACATCGGTTATTCTGATAACCGATGTTACATGCCTTTATTACATCGGTTTTTATCTATAACTGATGTATATACAACTTGTTTGCATCGGTTATTACGAAACTGATGTTAAATGTCTTACTTTGACATCGGTTGTTAAACGGACCGATGTAAAGGGTTCGATTTTTTCGTTTTTCAAGCCCTATTTTTTTCCCTTATAACATCGGTTGTTAGGCAAAACCGATGTAAACAAGTTCTTTTTTACATCGGTTATAAACCGATGTAAAAATGACAGACTTTTAACATCGGCTGTTTCAACATCGGTTGTAAAAATGGGTTTTAACCGATGTTAATATGATTTTTAACCGATGTAAAAAGTATTTTTTCCACTAATAACCGTCCTCAGGCTCTAGGAACTGATCCACCGGTTGATGTGGGAGGACATTTTGATCTCTATTTTCGGCCCAAGTCTTCCCAAGCTCGGAATGAAAGGCGGCCCAATCAGTATATGCCCTCTCAGTCATTCCTTGGCCTCGGTGGAGTGTCTCCCATTGGGCCACATCCCTAATTATCAGAGCTGGGGGGATGGACTGGCGACATTCAAACTGACGGAGGACCCTATCAGGCTCGTGGGGCTCACAGATGTTCCAACAGAAGATGGGCCCTTGTACATCCAAACTTGTTGATCTTCTGTTCATTGGTCCGGGAGAGTAGACGAATCCTCGAGGAACTGGACATAAGGCATCCAATCAAACTGAAAAAAAAAGAAAAAAAAAGAAAAAAAAAATTGAATTAAGAATTACTAAGAATTAAGTTAGAAAAAATTTCAAACCAATAAAAAACAAAAGATAAGTTAATATATAGAACTTATGAATCTTACATCCATGTCTCTCAGCCATGTCAGCTGATCCCGGATAGCGGTCGTTCCCTTGGCTAGGTGCGTCGTGTTCTTTCTTCCCACTCACCTTAAAAATCACAGAAAATAACTTTGTAATTAGAAAAATTAATAATGAAAAAACTTAATATTAAATATAAATAAATGTTCATACCGTGCTCCTAAGGGACAACCACGTACAGAATCAAAGCGCGTGGACTTCATTGTTAGGGGAATGCGAGGGATGCGTTCCCATACTCAAACATACACATATCGACATATGTATTTTTTGTGTTATATATTAGTCAGAATAAAAAAAAAAGAATTTTTAAATAACAACTAAATAAAAGTACCTGAAGCAATTGCACACAGCCCTTCATCCAGCCTTGCCCGGCCTCGAAGGATGTGCAAAACGCTCCATCCAATCCGGCGAGGATTGCTGCACCCCAGCTGTACCCCTTAATTTGATCAATGTCGTGCAGCATATCCAACCAGTACAGGTTGACTCCGTTCGCCCACTGGTCGGGGAAGAAGAACGAGCCTATGCACCAGAGTATAACGGCCCTCGCCCTTCGTTCGTAGACCTCGGTGTCTTCTCCATCTGAGAGCTGTCGTTTGCATTCAGTCTCTAATGGGTCGACATTCAAGAATTGGCCTTTAATGGGCCAAGTCTTGGGGTCGTACGACGGGTCACCTTTATCCTGGAATTGTTTTTTTTTTAAAAAAAAAGAGCAAATTAGATATAAAAAATAATAATTAAATATAATTAAATAGTTTCATATTTCTTAAAGATAGAAAATAATACATTTATGCATAAATTAGAATACTTGAAATTTTAATAAACGAGAAATGGGTGTCTCTATAAATATAAAATTTAATCACAATGCAATAAAACTTGTATTTTTTAATGAATTCGAATAAAATATATGAAATTGTAAATACTATTTGAGATAGAATATATACCTGGACATTGGGCCGAAACCCTAGCATGTCAATACACAAGTCTCGCCATTGTTGGGGAGTCGTATCCGCAGTCGTTCCCCAACAAGCTTGTCCGTTGACCGGGAGGCCAAATAGGACTTGAACGTCCTGCAGCGTTATTGTGGCTTCCCCGCAATCGAAGTGGAAGGTATGCGTCTCGGGACGCCACCTTTCCACCAGGCAGGTGATGAGGCTGTTGTCCGTTGTTATCCGGCCAATCCGAAACACCAGGCCAAAACCTGCCATGTCGATTTGCTCCCAAACTTTACCATGCTGGTTCTCCAATGCGTGCCATAACTCACTGTCGTTACGGCGGTTTGCAATACTGCCGTTACGATAGCCTGGTTCATCGTCATATACCGCCTTGGCACGGTGGCGGCTTTGAAGATACAGAAGCGAGCCGTCAATCGGATCTGGTTGTACATTGTACCGACGAGCCTGTGAGGATGACGAAGATGCCATTTTCTACATTTAAAAAAATAAAACAAGTCAATAGATATAAGAAAGTGTATAAGTTCAAATAAGCGAGCAAATTATTAACACAAAAAACAAACAAATTCACAAGGTGTTCGATAAAATTCACAAAAAAAATCACAAATAAAAATTCACAAACAAAAAGAGGGAAAAAAAAAATACAAACAAACAAATTCACAAAACAAAAAGAGAGCAAACAACAAATCCATCATGGGATTGATCGCATAATTTATTCACAAGACAGAAGACTCATTCACTAAAACCTTTCTGAAACTTTTGAAAATATCCTAATATCCTATATATTTCATAAGCACACACACAGAAGACTCATTCACTAATCAAATGTAAAACTACACTTGTCACTGAAAATGAGAACAGTACCATAATAGCAAAGGCTTCAAATTTTTCGCTCACATCAAAATCGGATACCAAAAGCAGAAACTTTCAGCCTTTATTAAGACAAACAAATATGCTGAGCTTAGGATTGTAAGCAAGGTCAAAAAAACATCATTCAAAGTTCGCATCTATGCGACCAACCACAAGCTCAGCTCAAATGAGAGAGATATTTGTACTGTCAAGTGTAGTCACCAATAATTGAGGCAATTAAGCTCAAAAGAAATCTGCACACAAGGTGTTCATAAAATTCCACAATCAATTAACAAAGTTCACAACAATACACCGGAGGCAATTTAGATGTTCAAAACAAGCATGCTCTAAACCTACACCTAATTTATCAAATCTTGTTATCGAAACCCTAAGCCCTAATTCAAAAATTATTGAAGAATTGAGAAAATCGAAGCCCTAATAGAAGAAATGTACCTAATAGTCGAGAAGGAGGTCCGGCGGCGGTCCGATGTCGAAAATTTCCGGTCGAAATTTCCCGGCGATTCTTCTCTCTCTCTCGTGCTCTCCGTTCTCTCTCTCTGTCTGCTGCTGAGGTTTCTGTTCGTGTAAAGGGGGAAGAAGAGAGTTTTTGGATTTATATTTACAAGAAAAACGTATTATGAGAATACGTTTTCGACCTAATTATTTGTAAAACGTATTCTAAGAATATGCTTTAAATA